AAGAGTAGAACTAGAGCCATAGAATTATTTTGAAAGGAACAGTGATCCAATAGTGATGTTTGTTTAAGAACTGTATATAAAAACCTGACTACTAAAAATTGCTCAGAATGGAAGATAAATGTGAGTTCTGCCTCAGAACTAGGAGCACACACTAGGAATGTTTTATAAGTATGATCTCAAGCCCATGAGAAGCAGATTGAGAAAAGAGCATCACTTACTGCATTCCGCTGGAAGTAGATGAGCAGACCGGCCGCTACCTGGGCTATTAGGATCAACAGGAGGCAGGTAAAGTACTAAAGAAAAAGTAATGAAAGGTGTTACTAACACTGGGTACACTTATCTGTATGGACATCACATTACAACTCCACACATTCCAGAGTGTGCGAGTGTTTCAGTGGTATAGAAATTAGAAGTAGTTACTTAGGTTGAAAGCCAGTCTGAACTGGGCTATTTAGATTAGCTCAAAAGTGGGTTGGATCAGCCTGATTTGGACGTAAAATGGACCAGACAAGTTTGAAATCACTTAGTCAGCTCTAGAGAAAGACTAATTTAAAATGCCAATGCTTGACCGACAGCATCTTATCGGGAAAATACCACAGAGGGATGATGAAGAGAGTGGAGTTGTGGACTTTTCTAATTCAGAGCTCTGGTCACCTATGGAATTATAATGAGGTGGAATGGTGCAAAGTCATAAAACAATGTATATTAAACGTTTTCATACAGGTTTGTGCCAGTTGTCAGATCTCACTCATAGCAAGAAATAACAGTTTGCCTTCTTGCCTGACTCAATCAAGTGCAACTGGTGCCTGGCCACTGATTGCAACCCAGTAAAGGTTTCCTCTGACATTAAGTCTAGTTGAGTCTGACTCTGGGGGTGGTGCTCATCTCCATTTCTAAGCCGTAGACACCTCCTTGGTCATGTGGTCAGCATGGCTGCATGGAACGCTGTTACCTTCCCGCAGAAGCGGTACCTATTGATCTATTCAGATTTGCATGTTTTTGAACTGAAAAAAATTGGCAGGAGCTGGGGCTAACAATGGGGGCTCACCCCACTCCCAGATTTGAACCGCCAACCTTCCAATCAGCAAGTTCAGCAGCTTAGCAGTTTAACCCGCTGTGCCACCACAGCCCCATAATAACCCAGACCGAGCACAAAACTAATCATACATATTACATTTTATTTTTTAAGGGCAAGAAGCACAAAATCACTTGGGGTTACCTATCTGAAATGGATAAGGACTGTCTGCTCTGAACGGGTTGCCATATGCCCCAATTTCATGCTTTCGTTACAAAATACAAAAAAAATTGTACCTATGTACCTTTGAAACAAGACTAATTTTGTATTTAGACTTCGGTCCCATCTTCCTAATGTATATGTAAGTATTCCAAAATATGAAAAGATCCAAAATACAGAACATTGCTGGTACAAAGCATTTCTTATAAAGTATACTCAGCCTGCAAAAGAGTTCTTACTACTATGCTTGTAACAAAGGGAATCTGGCAAAAGTATGATAGCTGGGACCTGGTGCTGGTAGCTCTGCGCTGGTTGCACAACACAGCTCTGAATTAGAGAAGGGAACACGTGCGTGAGACAGTGCACCAAGTGAGAGACACAGCTGCGGCAGGATACCAGTGAAGTATTGTAACTCAGGTTGGACAGGATAACAGTGAAGTAATGTAAGAGTGACTGGATTTGATTCATTTTTCACCACTGCTCGTATTTCTCCCCTCCTTTCTATCCTTCCGTCCAATGCAACAACGTTTTTGAATGTGTTTGCATAAGATCTCTGAATAGCCTACATCAATATGCTTGGCTGTTTTACCTCCCTCTTTCTACCAAACTACGTTGCATAGTATCTTCGGATAGCCTACATCAATATGCTTGGCTGCCCCCCCCCCCCCCGAACTACCTTGTCGATGCTGTCGTAGCTGCATCTCTCACTGCATGTGGTCTCTCGCACACATGGTACTGTGCCTGGCACACGAGTTCCCTTCTCTAATTCTGAGCCGCGTTACGCAACCAACGTAGCGCTACCAGCACTGGGTCCTAGCTATCATACTTTTGCCGGGAATCTTTTCTCTTTTTTTCTTCCTTCTCCCTTTCTTCCTCTTTTTTATGCTACCAGAGAATAACACATGTACTTTTTTGAAAATCTATGAAGTGTAATCTAACTTATCTATCACCTGCTAATTTACCACTTGGAGTCAAAAGCATTCCTACAAGCCTTGTTTTCTAACTAGTCAGGAAGAACCATCAGACAGCAGCAGTAAGAAGGGGAAATCACTTAAGGCAGCATTTATCTGTATCACTTACCAGTCCCAAGAGACATCGAATCTCATTGACTGCTCCCACACAGCCAAGGAAACCCATCAACATTGTGACAGACCCAACTCCGATGAGAATATATGCCCCAACCCTTAATGAGTATGAGGAGGTCTCTGGAAACCAAGAGAGAAATAACTGAAATTAAAACAAATTCCTTCTAGATTATTTTGTACATCCTGTCATTCCCAAGAAACCAAGATAGTGTTTCAGAATTACAAGTACTTCACAGTAAGAAGCTAGTTGAGAATTTTATGCCCAGGTTTTAAAATGTTTAAGTCATTAACTAGTTTTAATTTTGATAGTTTAAGTCTGTTCTATTTTTTTGTATTCTGTGAATGTTAACTGTGTTTCTTTACATGTTGTAAGCTGCTGAATTCCAAATTGAGAAAAAGCAGGATATAAATAAATGTCATCTTCACTGTCATCATCAGAGTTCTGTGTCAAGAAGAGCTGGATTCTATTGTATGTACAGAATCAAAGAATTATAGACTTGGGATACACCACATGGGCCATCTAGTCTAACCCCCTGTCATAAAAAACACAATCAAAGTACCCCTGGCAGATAGCCATCCAGCCTCTGTTTAAAAGCCTCTAACGAAGGAGATTCCACCACACTCTGAGGCAGAGAGTTCTACTGCTGAACAGCTCTTACTGTCAGAAAGTTCTTCCTAATGTTCAGGTGGAATCTCCTTTCCTGTCATTTGAACCCATTGCTCTGAGTTCTAGTCTGCAGGGCAGAAGAAAACAAGCCTTGTAATATCCTTTCAAGTATTTAAAGATGGCTATCATGTCTGCTCTTAACCTTCTCTTCTGCTGGCTAAACACACTAAGCTCTTTAAGACGCTCCCCATAGGGCATGGTCTCCAGACTTTGGATCCTCTGGACACCTTCCAGCTTGTCAACACATCCCTTAAATTGTGGTGACCAGAACTGGAAACAGGTGAGGTCTGACCAAAGCACAATTGTTTCCCTTGATCTAGACATGATGGAAGTTAGGGGTTTTTACGGGATCATTTGCCTCTCTAATAAAGCTGGGGGTTAACCATACAACTGTTTTAGGCACAATGAGAATATGAAGGGAGGAAAGGGCATTTTAAGGTATTCAAAAATATAACAGCACCCCATACTGTAGGGTAAGACCAACCAAGCTTTGCTGATTATTTGGCTTCAGGTAAATGGCCCTGTTGCATTGGCTGAATTGGGAGCTGTAGGTGTATCTGGAAGGCTACACATTCTGCACCCTTGTTCTACAACCAGTTCAAAGTTTTCCTAGCTGTCAGTGGTCCAGATCAGTGTTTCGGAAGCTCTGTGATGTGGGAAACTAACAGCACTGCCACAAGTGGTGGGGACTGGTACTACATTTGTGCCTACTGACTACAAATGTTTATTTCCTGGAAGTATTATGTAGATGAATTGTTGAAAGCTCAAACACTGGTACTGGTCTGTAGACTACCACAATGAGCCACAGTGATCCAAATGACGTGATATGACCACTCTCACCTCACTGACTTTCTAATTGTTTAAACTAGGGGTGGACAATCAGATTCTCTTCATTTCTTTTGTCCTACATTTCCCATGATCCATGCAGGCCTGGATTGATTCAAGCTGCCGTCCCAAATAGCTGCAGGGACCAGGGGTACTTCCATAATACATAACTGTATCACTTTAACTGCCATGGAAACATTTTATGAATTCCTGAGAGGTGAAGCTCTCAGGCCTGCATGGGAGGAGTATTTAGAATTTCACCAAACTACAAGCCCTAAGTATTCACAGGATGCAGCCATGGCAATTAAAGTAGATTCACAACTATATCCACAGCTTGCCCACCTATGAGATAGGCTAAGCCTTTACAAAGATGATTGCAGAAAGATAGGGCATCTTTAGCCTATTCCCCCTAGCTTTCCAAGAAGTTTCATATGCCCTGTTTGCAAATTGCTTCTACTCCCTTTTGCACCATCTTTTTTCCTTCTTGTTTCTGGGAGGAAAGCCAGATAAGAACAAGAGAGGGAGAGAAGGAGGGAGGCCTCTCTGGTATGCCCAGCTGTGTAAAAGTTCCTTCCTAGACTTTGCTCTTAAGGTTACCAAGGAAAAAGTGGAGCGGGAGGAGGAGAAATGAAGAGAGCTGAGAAAAGGTTCCATCTGGAAAATGCAAGGAAAGAAGCAGAAACCTCTGCGTGCCCAGTCAGATTGCAAGCGGGGAGGACAGGAATGAAAAGGAATCCACACACTGAAGGCTCCAAAGCCTTTGGCAGCCCAAACAGGCAGAAATCTCAGTGGCTCTGTGGGCAAGAGAGCTGTTCGGCATATGCAACTGTATGTTCTGGTTCCAGACCACAGGGGGAAATCCAGGTCACAAATCAAGCCCTTAGCTATTTCTGCAGTCTAAAATTGGCTGCACACATTTAAAGCGCGGGGGGGGGGGGGGCTCGGTTTTACACACCTTTTAATTCATTCACACACACACACACACTTTTTTTGGCTATTTCTGTCTTCTGAGAGAGCAGTGATTCAAATAAAAATAAGTAAAAGTGAAAAGTAGAAACAACACAGGGGACATGGAAGTTCTTTTAAAAAATGCTTTAACTTGCCAGATTATTTCCCCTCATATTTGTCCTTTGCTGAAGTGAATCAAAGTTACTATAGAGCAGAGAACTTTTTGAGGCTAATGCTCCCAGTCTGTCCTGGTGTAGCCTCGCAAGCAAAAAAGCTGATTAGCTATTGAAGGCTCATCTAAGTCTACCAGGGGACCACCTATGTTTCCAAACACAATCAGAAAATGATCTTGAGCTCAGATCTGCTTCCTTTTGCAATTTAGTAAGAATTGTATGACATTCATTTTCTTCCAGAGAATACAGCAAATGAAAACAAGCACAAAAATCAGAAAAGTTGTCTTACGTAGAACTGAAATGAAGCTATTCTTGTCAACCAAAATCCATATTCCGAAGCCAAGGATCACAGCACCCAAGATCTGGAGAAAAAAAAGATTTGGTTACTTTTGCTACATACAGTTTTGCATTTCATATCATATACTTGTGCAGCACTTCAGCAAAAAAATGTTTTATTATCTATAATACCATTTTTTTAAAAAGGTACAGGAAAGTGATTCATGAATAAAGATAAGGTGATGAACTACAATAGCTCAGAGTCTTTTCCAAGTTCCTACTCTTTTGTCAGAAGTATTGCTATATATACTTCATCCCAGATGCATCAAAGTATTTCTGTGGCTGTGCAGATATATAGCATGAACTGCGGGATACTGAACCTATCTGACCTTCTCCTAGGACAAATATAGAGGACACAAATATAGCTTAAAAGCACAAGAGGACAGAGTTATAATTCCCACATCAATACAAAAAGATTTCAAAAGCGGCCAGTTTGTAGATTAGCAAACACTTATCTCCCAATTTCCATTTAAGAACCACTTTACTAGGTAAACCTACATTCTCTTTCATACAGAAACATTTCTAATTGTTTCAATGAGATACCTCTGGAAAGGGGGAAAACAAAACAATATTCCTCTACACCAGTACAATTTTGTTATTCAGGAAGTAAAATGATTATCTATACTATAAGGTCACCCTAGCCAATGGGGAGAATCAGTACAGTGTGGTGGTTTTAGTGTTGGACTGTGACTCTAGAGAATGAAATCTGTATCTCCATTCAACCATGCAAACTCACTGGGTGACCTTGGGCAAGTCACATTTTCTCAATCTTAGTAAAAAGAAGAGGCCTCTCTGAACAAACCTTGCCAAGAAAAACTCAGTGATAGGGTCATATCAGAAACGACTTGAAGACACACAACAACACTTCCCCTCATTCCAGTCAGTTTTATTATGTGCGTAAGTTCTCCTGACAATTTGCTACAATATTACAGATATATCACTAATATTAACCAAGGGTTTCATTTTCTTTCAGATGTTGTGAATCAAACTAGTTTTCTTCTAATAACCTGAATCCATATCCATTAACTCTGATGGCTTGAGCTTCTGGGAGTTGGATTTCAAAACTTCTGGAGGTTGAAACCACTTGTATGAGGTCTTGCAGGAATTCATTAGCTTAGTTCAGCTGTGGGGACTCTTTGCCTTCCTGATGTACTGGAAAATCATTCCCACAGTCCTTTATCACTGTTTTAATCATCTGGGGCAACCAGAATGGAATGCAAACATTACGCACCTCAGAGTTTTTTGGGTTTTTGGCTGTCACCGTAGTCCAATGCGTGTGTGTGTGGGAATATACAAAGACTGGGTTATTACATTCCAACTTCTGAAAATTCAAAGATGAAAAATCTAACTAAAAAAATGATTCAGAAGTCTAAGCATCGTTTTTACTTAATTGATGAGCACCCATGAGTTTTATCACCATAGTCCAGTGATGGGCAAACCTTTGAGCTTGGTGTGTCAAAATTTGCCAAAAAAATGAGCATAACTCAGGTGGTGTGTCACTTTGAGAAAAAAATAATTTCATGCTATTTATAGTTTAAATAACAAAAATGTACAATTGTAATATATAACTGTATTTAACAAACCAAAACCGAATTATTTAATTTACCTGCTTAGTGACTTTTTTGTTCATTTGTCAGTTCGATTCTTTTATTGATCTTGATAATTTTTTAACTTGTGTGGGGTGCCATGAACTAGTGAGGGGGAAGGGGGAATTCTTTAACTAACCGGCCTATTAGTGACTTTTTTGTTGCGGAATTCCATTGGCTAAATCTTCAATTGAAGGTTAGCATTTTGTACACTTTAAGCCCAAGCAAGCACTACTAACTTCATCTGTCAATCTGCCCAGGCCCTCGCCTCTCCCAGCCTCCCCCCTCACTTATCTCAGTAATGACGGTCAATTAGAAATCCACAACACCCCAGAACAATAGATTGGATGATGGTTGCTGTGGGTATGTGGTTGCTGGTAATGGCAATCACAGGGCCCTCAGAGATGCGTCCCCCATGCCATTCTGCTGTTCCTGCTCCCCCAGCCGGAAGTGAAGTCAAAGATCCCCTAACGGCCTAACCGGAAGTTCCAGAACTACATGCTTTGCGCCAGACTTCTGTTGTTTTAGCCTACAGATCTCTGGCACAGTGTGTCTACACTGCACTACAGCAAATGTTTCATCCTCTGCTACTGCACCTGGTTGTGCAGGAGTCAAGGATAAAACTTCTTTCTCAAAATGCGTCCTCATACTTCTCTGTATGTGGCCGTGTGTCATAAAAAATGGCTACACATGTCAGTGCTGGCACGCATGTCATAGATTTGCCATAATGGCCATGGTCCAATGTAGCTTCTCCCATTCAAACTGAATGTAAGAGGGAACATAACAGAATTTTTTTCCAATCAAAAATATAAAATATCTCCCTTAAACAAAAAAGAAGAAAGCTAGACACTAAGGAGAAATGTTATCAATAGCTTTCACTTCAACACCTATTATTTTGCAGAGAAACATTTAATTTTCCAAGCTTTCATAGACAGCATTACATTTAAGAGAATCAAGCTTATTATCTCAGACAGAACTATATCCATGTGTGTCAGCCCTCTGGTTTTACAGAAAAGGAAAAAAAATCCACCTTTGCAGCAGAAAGCATGAAATAGGGATATGGAGGAACACATGGTCCGCCACATGTTAATAAACTGTAGTTTCCATCAACAAAGGCTACCATCAGGCTCTTCATAAATGTTCAACAGTTTTATTAAGACACGGGATTCTATGATCAATATGTAGGCTAAAGTGGGGGTGGGAGTAATGCCTGCAAATAGAATCAGATGAAGCTACAAGTCATACAACATTCATATGGCAGCAAAACCTAGGGCACAGAGCCAGCACTCGGCAAGCAAACTGCAAACACTCTGCAGTCCAACAGCGTTCTGCAGAAGGATGCCAGCTGGCGGCCTTCAACCATCATCAGGAGACTGCAGAGATGAGAATGGGGCAATTATGGGAGCGCCATAATCCAGCTTTGCTCTAGCTAATCACAAAATATTTCTGGGACAAAAGGAATAGGCCTGGACAAACCTCTAAACATCCGGGTCAAAACTCAACTCAGCTAAGCTAAAAGGGAGATTTTTTTACAATTAGGACTTTATCATAAATAGAAGGTATTACATTTAAGCAGCAACAATCAAGTTCACAAATATAGGATGGCTGACACCTTGCTTGAAAACAGTATATGTGAAAGGGATCTAGGAGTCTTAATAGACCGTAAGCTGGACATGAGTCAACAGTGTGATACAGAAGTTTAAAAAGCCAATACAATTCTAGGCTGCATCATCAGGAGCACAGTGTCTCTAGACTGAAGGCAGTAATTGTAGCAGTCTATTCCCTTTGGGCCGACATGCCCTGGAATACTATGTCTAGTTCTGGGCACCACAATTCAAGAAGAATATTGACAAGGTGGAAGGTGTCCAGAAGAGGGTAACCAAAATGTTAAAGGGTCTGGAAATCATGCCCTAGGAGGAGTGGTTTAGGTAGCTAGGAATATTTAGCCTGGAGAAGAGAAGGCTAAGGAGTGACATGACAGCCGGGCACAAATATTTGAAAGGATGTCATAGGGAGAAGTGAGCAAGCTGGTTTTCGGTTGCTCTTGTGACTAGGACATGGGGCAATGGATTCAAATTACAGAAAAAGGTATTTTATTTAAATATAGGGAGGATTTTCCAATGATAAGAGCTGATTCCATTTAAATATAGAAAGAATTTCCCAAAGGCAAAGGCTGTTCAACACTGGAACTGCCCCAAAGTGTGTGGAATCTCCATCTCTTGAGCTTTTAAACATGGGCTGGATGTTGGAAGGACTTTGTGTATTCTTGCATGGCAGGCTGTTGTGTTGGATTGGATGGCCCCTGTGGTCTCTTATGATTTTATTTTTCTATGATAAGATAAAACAGATAATATATCAATCATGAGTTGTGTGCTACAGACTCTTTTCTTCCAATTTCACCTCTCACACCCAGCTTGGAGCAGAATAAAAAAATGTGAAATGGAATTTTTATATATAGCATATTTTGTATGGTTAAACAGAACCAGAACTATCTCAAGAGTGGTAACTCTACAAGAGAGTCCCTCAAACCAGGATGGTGAGCCCAAAAGAAAGCATTCATCAAAGTGGGTGCTAAAGCATTCCAATAGTAATCCATGAGACATCAGAGATATCCAACCAAGTTTGAATTTGGGGTGAACCTGTCTTGCTTAATAATGTTCTCTGTTCCTCCTATCTGTCATGGAAAAGTGATCCTATTTCCAAACCTGTTGAATGCTAAGGTACAACTAAGCTAAGTCACTCATCTGGAAATCTGAACTCAAGGAAAGCATGACCTTGCCACTATTGACATTTAAGCAATGAGCCCAAGCCATTAGCTAAGCTGGCTGCTGCTGACAAAAGCCAGAACTCCTGTTGAGTTGCATTCCTGGCAGGCTGTTTGTTGCCAAGCAAACCTGTTTAAAGCCTTTTTTTGCCATTTCATCCCACCAGAGCAGTCTTCATTTAGTGGTCAAAGCCAAACATTGCAGTATAGCAGATCCTGGTTCATGACTCTAGCTTCTCTTCTCCATCTTCTGGCTTGTAACAAGTTGTAACAAAATCATTTCTCTCCAAGTCAATGAACCCTCCAAATCTGGAGGAAACTCTGTGAGTCATAATGTAAATTGATAATCCCTAATCTGAAAAAGTTCTAAAATCTGAAAGTGGCTATGATAGTGACACCTTTGCTTTCTGAAGGTTCAGAGTACACAAATTTATTTTATGTAAAAAAAATAGTAAAAATGTTATCTAAAGTTATTTTCAGGCTATGTGTATAAAATGTATATGAAACATACATTAATTTTGTGATTGGACTTGCATCCCATCTCCAAGATGTCACATGATATATATGCAAATATTTGGAAAAACAAAAAATTCAAAATCCAAAACATTTCTGGTTCTAAGCACTTTGTATAATGGGTATACAACTTGTGTTTTCTTCTTGAATCAGTTTTGTATAG